AATGGCTAAAACCAATTTAGGTTACTAAGGTTAGTGTTTAGTGTCATATGCCTCTCTTTCATTTGTCTTGGTGTGACTAAGTTGGACTTGGCTCCTGGAACAAATATCTATTTTAAAACCTAAAGGCTCAGTTTTGATTAACTTAACAAGATACGTGACTATAGTTTAAGAGTAACTTTTCCCCAAAATTGAGGTTCTCCAGTTGAATTTCTGTCAAGAATCAAAACCAAGTTGCCTGTGAAAAGAAATTCTGAAGTATATGGGTGGTCTATGCGCATGGATGTGACTATTTGATAGCTCCAGTGTTATTAAAGGCAAAAAGCGCAAAAAATCTCTAACGTCCATTGGGGCATTAAGCGCAAAATACAAATAAAGCATGGGCTTTAATGAAGAAGCACACAAATGGAGAAAGAAATATAAATATGTATGTGTAGTCAAAGGCTAATAATTATAAGCATGAATAACGAATATGTGGACAAAGAAATTGAATTTTTTTTACAATAAAGTGGAATACCAATTGTTTAGTGTCGCCTCTTCAGGATTATGCTCATTGGCAAGAAAAAGTATGCCTTAGAGCCTTGATGATGACACTGAAGCGTCCGTCAAGCGAGGCGAAGAGCTCAACATGTTTTGCGTCTCGCTTCAAGGCTTAAGTGCATTTTAAGTGTGCCTTTGACAACATTGGTTAGATTAGGGTGTAACTACATAAGCTGAAGAGAGGGAGGCAAAGGGCAGTAGGAGGAATATAAAGGAATATGTCGTGTCTAAATTTGTCTAAGAAGAGTTGGGAATTTTAAAGGTTTTGGCTTTTGACTATAGTTATTAGTTAGATAGATTGTTAAATGTTAAGTTATTATATATGAGCCTTTAGATTTTTAAGTGAACTGTTGTTCCACATCCAAGCTTACATCGGATGTAACTAAACTTGAGAGGAGCCAAGTCCAACTAATTTGGCTTCGCCACCTTTTGCAAGAATGCAGTTAATAGACAGATCTATCAACCTGTTTTTCTGTGCCCTCTTTTTATAATGTGTGCTTTGGCCATCTTCCCTTTGTTTAACTAAAGCTTCTGATCTTCCAAATCTTGTGATTACAGTCGCCAAATCTTCTCCCAGAACTCTTGGAACTATATTATGTCTTTGGTTTATAGGCATGGCTTGCTCTGCCCCCTTAGTTCTTTTGGTTTCTTTCTCTGTATTGGCGTCTGCAAGCATAAGAAACATTTGAATTCTAGTGCACTATCCTTAGATAGACTCCTGCTTCAAGTGCTGACTTTAATTAAAGCTGGATGGGCAATATCTGCTTAATTTTACACAGCCTCATCGGATGAAACAATTTCCCTTGCCTAAATCTGATTTAGCATTTAACACGTTATTCCTCTCAAATGGACAAGTTATATGTGACCAATAGATTTTGTGTGCCATTTACATTAACATTAGATCACCTTCTGTTACACATTTTTTAGCGGTCAATTATGGACTTGAAGATTTAAAGCTTAGAAGTTGAGGAAATAATAGTGAAGGTATCAATACATCAACAGTATCATGAAATTTAGGAAAAATGTAGGAAAGTGCAGAATGAATGCTGTAACTATTACCAAAGTATTTAAGAGAATTAATTTTGTGTATGTATACGCTTGCAAGAAAGTCGAAATTCAAAGATGTAATCCTCTAATCCTCCTTCTTTCCCCAATGAATCTGGGAATAAATACCTTCTTCTGCCTTATTATGAAAAGTGAAACTGTCTATTGCATCAAGCGCTGTTTAATCTATATTTTCTCTCTTTTTATCAGAAAAAGTCTACGTTTTCTTGCTCGTTGCTACTCATCAATGAGCTTATTCCGTTTAGTTGCCCTGCTGTCCTTTGTGTTTTGATTGAACTCTACAATGACGGCCTAGAAACTTCTTGTTCCGCAATTTCACTCATATTTGCATAGTTCCCTTATCAATGTTGGTTATGCTTCAGGCAGAAACTATGCTCAAGGATGCTAATGCATTGCCAGAGTTGATAGGCACTGAGAAAAGGTACTCATAATTGTTAACTTTCCTGTATTCATTCATAGCATGCAGAACTGGAAGTTTCATGTGGCAAATGCCAAACTCTGATGTCATTTTTAGGTTTCCATTCGAAGAGCTCCATAAAATGGAAAAAGCTGGAATTGAGAACAAAGATGGCAGTGACACAGAGGACGATGAGGATGATGATGGAGATGCTGATGATCAGGACGACGATGATGCTGACGATGAAGACTTTTCAGGCGAAGAAGGGGGAGATGATGAGGAAGAAGGGGATCCCAAAGAGAATCCAGCGGCTAATGGCGACGAAGGCAGCGATGACGAAGACGATGAAGATGATGAAGACGATGAGGACGGGGATGATGATGATGAGGAAGAGGAAGACGAGGACGAGGACGTGGACGAGGAGGATCAACCACCTGCCAAGAAGAAAAAATGAACCACTTCCTAGTATATGTTTGTTCTGCTTTTCAACCATGTTTGAAGTATGTAGTAGTAGGAAGAGGGAGTTTTAGCTTTTCTCTAGGAATTAACCATCCTTTTGCAGAACAAATGAACTACTTTTGTCATTCTATGAGATTGTTTAGTTGTGATATATATTCCATTTAATCCAATGAGTTTTCTGGTTTCTTAGTTAAGGTAATCCAAATTAATTAGAAAATTAGATGATTTAATCTTCGTACTTCAAATTTCATTTCATTAGGGTAGACTGTCTACTTCACAACCCTTGGGATGCGGTTCTTCGCTGGACCTTGCTTGAACGCGTGATGTTTTGTACACCGTACTGCATTTTTTTACTCCACATTTTATTGACATTTCACACTATGATGCTTGCTATAACAAGTGGCCCAAAAGGAGAAGTTTTCAACATAACTTTAAAAAATAAAGGGTAGTCCGGTGCACTAAGCTCCAACTATGTACGGGGTTTGGGGAAAGACCGGACTACAAAGTTCTATTGTATGCAGTCTTACCTGTATTTCTGCAAGAGGTTGTTTTCACGGCTTGAACCCGTGACCTCCTGGTCACATGGCAACCACTTTACAGTTACGCCAGGGCTCCCCTTCTTTTTCAATATAACTTGACAGCGTAAAATTCTTTACACTGTCGGTGCATAGAACGTAAACTCTTTTTCAAAAACAAATAAGCAAAAGTTTATTCAACCGACTAAACGCCTAACAAGAAACTTCAAATTTCCAATTTTCGCTCTTTTCAATCAACCAAAACCTACATTCACTACATTTTTGCATCATAAAAAAAGAAAAGAAAAAAAAGAGCTTAATTCAACCAAATACTGTCAATTACTCAATTCCATCTTCAAATTGCAGATATTGGTGATGGTGCAGGAGAAATGCTGCAATAATAAATCAAAGTTTCACCAAAACTAGGATTAAATGGGAATATTTTAGGCCAACAATTACTATCAATGCCAGTAACTACTTCACAACAAGAAGAATCAAGCCATCCAATTCCAGTAAATGCTTTATAAACTCCTGTTACACATCCACTTATACTTTTAAGAGATGACCAACATTCAAAAACATCATCACTTGGACTTGGTGCCAATATTGGATCTAATCTGGCCATGGCTACTGAGTTTGCCATTCCTAATATAATGAAAAATGCAAATATCTTCAGAAATTTTATTGCCATGACTTAATTGTTTTTTCTTCCTTTTTACCTACTTTTGAGGATTTTATTTTTGGATGATGTTTGTGAAATGTGTGTGACAACTGACAATATAAAGGTATTTATAGGGAGATTTTGGAGTTATATAGATCATGTATACCATATTTATGAAATGTATGTTTGGCTATGCATATTTAACTTCCAAAATGCGTTTCAGTTTTAGTCAGTTGTAATTCTCATTATGACTATTTATGCAGAGATAAAAGTTAAAGAACGGGAGCCTTGGAGTAACGGTAAAGTTGTCCCAGTGCAGAGGTGGAGCCAAGATTTGAATCTTATGGGTTTAGAATTATATTCCTTTTAAGTTATTGGGTTCTAAATTAATAATTTGTACATATTTAATAAAATTTTTAAGACAAATACATGGTTTGAACAAAAGTTACTGGGTTTAGCCGAACCCGCATCCTGCACTCTACCTCTGCCCTTGTCTCCATGTGATCTATAGGTCACGGGTTCGAGCGTGAAATCAGCCACTGATGCTTGCATCATGGTAGGCTACCTACATCACACCCTTTGGGGTGCGGTCCTTATCCGGGACCTGTGTGAATTTCTGTTTCGTGCATCGAGCTGTACTTTATGCAAAGATAAAGTTAACGAAAGAGTCTCATGTTAGCTGAAAAATGTCGAACAACATTCAATCTGAAAACATGTTGAGCTTAGTTAAAATTTTAACGTTAAGAGTTATTATCTTGCGTATCGCACTGGCTTACCCTAATTAAGAACTCGTTTTATTGGCTGAAATTTCAATATATTACAATTGTAAGAACCGCAAATTGGCTTTAACTTTAACTATCGAATTTCTTCCTAAAAATGATGTTGAAAAAGGAACTTTTTAATTTATTCTAAATTAGAGATATAAATAGTTTAATTCATTCCTATTAAGCTGATTCTTTGCTATTTGAAGACATGAAATAGTGCAACTACAATAAGAAAAATTAGTTTATAATTTTATTTTTTTGAGGATGACTCGTATTAAATCGATCGAGGGTCAAGGACCGAAATTAATGATTCAACAAATTTAAAGTAATTTTCTATAGTACCCACAGAAAAATAACTCCCTCCTAAAGAAAGCAATAAATACTAATACTAATAACATCATTTTAAATATATCAATAAATGCTAACATTAAACAACCAAAAGTTAACACTCTTGTAACAGTTTCAATATGTCACTATTTCTTGTTAATTTGCATATAAATACCTCAACCCCAACTCCAAAATCTTTCACACTCACAAACCAAAGTTCATACAACAACATTACAATATAAACATCGAGTGCAAGTAAATTTATCTTTTTTCCAATGGCGAGCCCGAAAACCCTATATTCAACTATGCTAATAATTTTATCCATGTCAATTGTGAGTACACCTTGCTTTGGTCAATTTCTTGGATTATTACCAAATTTTGGAGGAATAGGTCCTGATTCAATTACAAAATGCTTAACATCAGTTAATGATGTTCCTAATTGTATTGAAGAAATAATTACATCTTTTTTGAGTATTCAACTTCATTTGCTTGGTCCTCAGTGTTGCAAAGCTGCTTTGGATATTGATGATGGTTGTTGGCCTAAGATTTTTCCTTTTAATCCATTTTTCCCTCCTGCTATTAAGAGTTTTTGTTCTGCTGAAGCTCAAATACCGCCTCCGCCACTTTTATAATAAGCTTTTGAGATAGTGGAAATAATATGTTTGATATTTACTTTCTAAGTTATGTCAAACCAAAATAAAAGGGATGGAGGGATAGTGGTGATTGTTTTTTTTAAATACGTTATTTTAAAATGGGAAGTATATTAGTCATCGGAGTTATCAAGGGTCGTGATGGATGGATGTGATCTCTCCACCTTTAACTAGAGACCCCTGGTTCGAGTCTTGAGAATTAAAAAATTCTGGTAAGAAGCGTTTTCCTCTTGGATGAACCTTATTGACGTGAATTTGGATTAGTCGGAAGTTCTGAATACACAAGGGTTGTTAAAAATAAAAATAAAGAGTAGTCTTTTGAGTTAAGCAATTCTTATTGTATTGGTTTTTCTTTTTCTTTTGCAGTAATGGTTGAATAAAGTTGGGTTATCTTTTTCATTAATCTCTCTCAGTTCTCTGTATCATTCAGTATACGTGAAAACTGATACTTATTTCGAAATAATTTCTATCATATAAACCAAATTAACCATAACATATGCAAAATATACATTATACTAGCAAGTCAATGGACATAAGAAACACAACAATCTCCACATTTTACTACGGTCATCTTTTACACACTAAAGTTGAAATTAGCTACCAACTTCATCGCTTATAATTAATAAATCTTTTTGATAATATGTTGCTAAATAGGATTAGCAACGAATTTTAGGGTCTTTTATTTACCTTTTACAATTGTTTTCTTAATGAAAATGAATTAAAATAATGTTGGATTAAGATTTTTTGCTATTTGTTTGTTTTAATCATTTCTCAAACTAAAAAAACTTGCAAGTTGTTCTTCAAACAGTTGTAAGTCCTTCACATTTTCTTTTACTTGAATTCTGAATCTGGTTCATATAATTTAAGTGGACTTAAACCTAGCCTGTTGCTTGAGCAGTCTATAAAACTGATATCGCCTAGCCTGTTACTTGAGCAGAAGACGGACACAAGCAAAGGGAGAGAGGGAGAAAATGATATTTTGGATTTAACTTATAGTATATAATGATAACGTAAAGAATTTTTACACTAAAATGTGAAAGTATCGAACCTTATTTTGTCAAATTATTAGTTTACGAACGACTACATGTAGTTATCTTTTAAGTGACCTAATAATGTAAAAATTCTTTTACACGAAAGTATAGAATTTAAACTCTTTTTATTTATGCATTATCAACGCCTGTAAGAATATTAAGAGCATTAGGCCGTTCACAGCATGCATGAAAAAATAAAAATATGCAATGTTTTAGGTCGAGGGGAACCAAAAAAGACCTCCAAAAAAACCACAAATGAAAAGCTAACAAAATTTTCAATAGTTCTCTTTAGTATATAGAATCATTTACTCTAGGGAAAACAATGTTGATGTTCTCAACTCTGCAAGACATTTCGCCATTATCATCAGTTCTCCTCCACTTACCTACATTCTAGTGACCATCAACACCAAAAAATGATTGAAATAAAGTAAGAAGAAGGGTAAAAGGAGGAGAGATATAGATCTTTGAGAGGGACTACTATCGGCATGTTCCAATTATAATTCATTCCTTTTTATCTTAAAAGATCTTGAAGAGAAGACCACCATGGGTTGCGAAAAAGGGAGCAAACACGAGTGATTCGACAGCCATCAGCTTGATGAGAATGTTCAATGATGGTCCAGATGTGTCCTTGAGAGGGTCACCAACAGTGTCACCAATGACAGCAGCCTTGTGTGGATCAGATCCCTTGGGGCCAAGAGTTCTCGCATGTTCTGAAGCTCCAGCCTAATATCACAAAACCAACACGAATAAATGAGTTAACAAATTAAGTTTCTCAAGCATACTCAAGGAACTCAATGTGAATGTAAAACGTCCAGCTCAAGTTTATCTACCTCGATGTACTTCTTGGCGTTATCCCAGGCTCCACCGGTGTTTGATGCAGAAATGGCAATCTACCAATCGAAGATGATCCAGGATTAGAGAGACAAAGAGAAAGACCATTTGAAGCTTTTAGCACATTTCAGCTAAAACATTTACCTGTACGCCAGAGACGAGAGATCCTGCAAGCACACCAGACAGGGTTTCGACGCCAAATAATATGCCTACAATCAATGGTGTAAGCATGACAAGAGCACCAGGTGGGATCATTTCCTTGATTGATGCATCCGTGGAGATCTTGACACAGGTGGCATAATCGGGCTTTGCGGTTCCTTCCATGAGACCGGGGATGGTGTTGAATTGCCTGCGCACTTCCTCAACCATCTTAAGGGCAGCACTTCCCACGCTCTTCATTGTCATGGCAGAGAACCAATAAGGAAGCATTGCGCCAACAAGTAAGCCAATGAATACTTTCGGTGTCAAGACATCTACTGTGGAAATTCCTGCCCGGCTCACAAATGCACCAAAGAGTGCTAGAGACACAAGAGCAGCAGATCCAATGGCGAATCCCTGTTACCATAATAGAAAGCTCGTCAACAATGAGTCAGTGAAGTGACCTAAATAGACCTAACAACATTCAGTGAAGTATGAGAGTATTTGACTTACCTTTCCAATAGCGGCAGTGGTGTTACCTGCAGCATCAAGGGCATCCGTTCTCTCTCTGATTCTGTGGCTCATCCCAGCCATCTCAGCAATTCCTCCTGCATTGTCACTGATGGGACCATAGGCATCAATTGCCAAACCAGTAGCTATGGTGCTCAGCATTCCAAGAGCAGCGACTGCAATGCCATACATTGCAGCAAAACTGAAGCTAACAAAGATACTGACTGCTATGGCAAAAATTGGAATGATCACTGATTTGTAGCCCAATGCAAGACCAAAAATAACATTTGTGGCAGCACCAGTGCGACAGGAATCAGCAACATCTTGCACAGGGCTGAAAATAAATGAAACAAAACTCATATTTCTGATAGGCAAGAATCAAAGAAGCACCAAAACAGAACGCAGCTAGAGACCCAAGTACCTGTAAGCATTGCTGGTGTAGTACTCGGTGACGAACCCAATAATAAGTCCAGCCCACAGACCAACTCCAACGCATAAGAACAACTGCCTGCAAGTTTAAATCAGTTTTGCGTGCCAGTTAGCCTTGATAAATGTTTATGAAAGACCGAAAGGAAGGATAGGCAGGAGAAATGAATCTTCATCCATTAGTTTGTCACACTGGAGTTCCTTTACCTAAATATTGACTTCATGCTTACAACTTCAAAGACAATGAAAAGAAATATTACGAAGCAATGTATACGCAATGCAATTATTTCAAAGTTATAGAAGCACAGGTCAGCATTTAGACTTACCAGCTCTGAACTTCTTTCTGAATTCCAAAATTGAATATTGTGAAGGTAGATGGAAGGGCAATCCAAGAAACAAGAGCAATTCCAAATGTCATAAGAACAGTTGAGATGACAAGTTGCTTCTTCAATGCTGGCTCAATTTCTTTTACAGCCTTGACTTCAAAGAAATCAGTTGCAAATAAGGTGGTAAGCAAACACACAAGGATGCCCACGGAACTGACAAGAAGAGGATATAGCATGGCAGTCAACTCATGGTTGACGCCAAAAGAGGAGATAGAAGCAACAACAAGGGCAGCACACGATGACTCTGCATAAGATCCAAATAGATCCGATCCCATCCCAGCAATATCTCCAACATTGTCACCGACATTGTCAGCAATAACCTGAGCACATATTTAACGTTAAAACTAACCAGGAAAAAGCATAAATAGATCATGACATTTTAAATGATACAATAAGCCTACCGCTGGATTTCTAGGATCATCTTCAGGGATGTTTCTCTCCACCTTGCCCACAAGATCAGCTCCAACATCTGCCGCTTTAGTGTATATACCTCCACCAACTCTACCAAAAAGGGCCATCGATGATCCACCAAGCCCATAACCAGTTATTGCCTCAAATAGTCCTTCCCAATCATCACCGTAATATAACTTGAATAGGTTGATGGCAATGAACAAAACCAGAAGACCATTTGCAGCAAGAAGGAAGCCCATCACAGCACCAGATCTGAATGCAACGATAAAAGCCTTACCAACACCCTTTCTAGCCTCCAAGGTAGTCCTTGCATTTGCATATGTTGCAATCTTCATTCCAAGAAACCCAGAAACCACAGAAGTTACACCACCAAGCAAGAAGGATATGGTGCTGAAAACAGCAGTGGCAAGAGCAGGCTTGCACATTTTGGAGCTGTCATATGTACAAGCCTGGCTCTTTGTGCTGAAACCCTCAACAGAGCCGAGGAATAGGAAGATCAGAATTGCAAAAGCAACCATGAAAACACCAACATACTGGTATTCCGTAAAGAGGAATGAGGTTGCACCTGCGGCGTAGATTGATTCCACAATTAGGAAAGCTATTATCAGGAAAAGTTTAACTATCTAGGCACTCTAAGAGAAATTCATGCATTTATATGCCAAAAGAAATATTAATGCAACACATCAGACTCTAAAGCAATAAACTGGAACAAATCCAGCAATACAATGTTAGTAAGAGCAAAAGGGAGAACTTCTTTGAACATTGAAAATTCAATTGAAGCCTGTTATATGCTTCAGATTCGAAATGCCAATCACCAAACTACACTACTTGTATGCCACATTATTTTTTGATACAGCATTTTTAATATGCCATTTTAAAGGAAGCATACATAACATGTTGAGGTCAGAGTCCCCATTTTTTTCTGGGTGCAAAAAATAAGGACATCAGTAGAAGTGAATGGGCAAAGCAAAATGCAATCTCATTGCAAGAATCTCAGAATTCCTCTAGTTCCTTTTATTCTTATCATTATTTTTAATTATATGTTCTAAGACCCCCTCTGGATGCTCTAAGGAAACTGCCAAAGAAACATCATCTCCATCAGCGAATTTCGGTCCCTCTAGTTGCTGAAAAAATTACTTTGTGCAACGAAGTTGTTCAAAGTTCTCATATCTTACTTTAATAAATCTCTAACTAGACGAAAGATTCAATTCAGCAGCCTTGACACTAAGTTGACTTCTAGAGTAGAGACACGTGACTATAGCACAACACTGAGGTAACACGGATTCTCTGGTCTGCCTTCTCTGAAGTATCACTAGGATAGTGCTTGGCAGCTGCCAGGAATTATTTAATAGTGAATTAAAGGTTGCTTAGACAGTACTAACTGCAATTAGTCAATACTCCTATAAAATAAAAAAGTGGTATGCTCATAATCATAGCAACTAATGAAGTTAAATGCTGAACGTGACAAGTAAATCACAGGGAAAGTATACCAACAAATACCGGAAGCATCCAAGTTTCTACCTTTACTCACACATATTATGTGTATAGGATGAAGATCTTTTATACTACAGTCAGACCTCTCTATAATTGCATCCTTATATAACAGCACTTCACTGTAAAAGCCAAGTTTTTCCGGAACTAAATTTCATGTTATGTTATAATATATGTTTTCTATAACAATAATTCGCTATGACATCCAAAAATATCTAGAACAAACGAGACTGTTATAGACAAGTTTGACTGTACCAGTGTTCTTCAACCTATGATAGCATGTTATTACCATTTTTACCAGATATGCTATTAACATTTATCAAGAGATTTACCCCTGATCGTGTAAATATTTTTACACTTCACTGTATTTTTATCAAGAGATTTACCAGATATGCACTTCACTGTATTTTTTCCATATATATATATATGACTGTGGACAAATTATTTATACAATCACCTCGTAATTATGATTAAAAATCTGTAATAGGCAATAAATTCATAGCGTAGTTTTTTTTTAAAACTGATCAATACATATAACTTAAATCCTATACGCATATACATGCAGTGGCGAACACACGTGGTGGCAAGCGGGTTCAACCGAACCCACTTCATTAAAAAATAATATTGTGTATATGTATAAATTAGGATTAAAACTGCATAAATTTTGTATATATATTTTATTTGAACCCACTTGACAACTACTATTTTACGACTAAAGTTATGTATTTGTAAGATTGAACCCGCTTGCACAAAATTTTGGGTCCACCATTGTATACATGTGCATGTAGAGCAGGGGCGACCTCACCCTGAAGCACTTGTTTTAGGCCACAAAATTTTAAGGGCCCCAAAATTACTATTTTTCTATATATAGTAGTATATTATTTATATAATTATCTCTTATTATTGATAAATTTATTTCTTTATTGTTATATTAATTTTTAATAACTCGATTTCTTCCTCTATCAATCTTATTTTACTTTTTTACTTAATTATATTTCTCTATTCATTAGTTGGTCACGTAACTATATCTAATAATCTAACTTATTATTTATTTTTCTTACATAAATTATACTCTCTCCGTCTCAATTTATATGAAAGTGTTTGACTGGACATGGAGTTTATGAAATAAAGAAAGGATTTTGAAACTTGTAATCTTAAATAAATCATAGAAATTTGTGGGCTAGAAATCATCTCATTAATGGTAAAAAGAAAAATCTAAAGTTGAATTGTTATCAAATATAGAAAGGGACTTACTAAAAAAAAAAAGGAGTCACTTAAGTTGAGACGAAGGAAGTATGNATATATATTAAAGTCTCTTATTAAGACTTTACTTTAGGCCTCAGATGATGTTGGGCCGCCCCGATGTAGAGGCGGATGCAAGGTATCGGTCCCGGGTTCAACTGAACCCACTACTTTTGGTGGGTAGCTTTATGTGTAAAAATTCATTAATATTGTAATATATAGCAATATGAACCCATAACTTTTACAGGTTGAAGCCATAAAACTTAAATCCTAGATCCGTCTTTTCCGTACATGGAGTAGAAGAGTGTTTATGTACGTGCAATATGTAATTACATGAACGAGCGTCTGTAAATACAATTTCAATAAAAAGAAGCAATAATATTTTTAAAGAAATAATTACCTTCAGAGATGGCATTTTGAATTTCAGCACACTTATTCACAACGCTATGATCATTAATACCTTCTTCTTCTTCAATTAACGCTTCAGCATATGATCCATTCTTACCGTCACCGGAAGACGACGATAATTTATCCGTCGAAACTATAACTTTCGACACAATTACCCATTGCACGAGCGCAAAACCGATTCCGATGAGCGCACACACCGGAATCAGAATTTCCGTTCCGAGATCTGGCAAAATTGTTGCTCCCATCACCGACACCTAGAGAGAGAAAGTATGTGTGTGCTGTGTGTGTGTGAGAGAGAGAATGAGAAGAGTGAGAGAGAGAGGTGGGAATGTGAAACGTGTGAAGGAAGGAATAAATAGAGGGGAATTGAGAGAAGATGAAGAGATGGTGAGATTTATACGGTGGGTTTTGTGGTGAGACTGTTGTTTGGCCGGTATTTTATGTATGGTTTTTATAGTTTATTATAGTTGCACCAGTAATACGGTAAGGTATACAGAAAAGGAAAAAGATTATATTATATACATATATACAAAATAATAAATACGCACACGTGTATTTTATAAGGTTTTAAATGAAACAATGACAATAATAGTACCTTATGTTAAGATAGAGGTATAAATTTATTCAGAGGCGGATTCGGGATTCAAATTTTAAGATTTTTAATATGGAACCCATTATATTTTTAACGTTATGAGTTCAAATATATTATTTTTACAATTTTAATAAATTTTTACACATAAATTTCTACTCAGCGTCGAAAGTTATGAGTTCAATTGAACCCATAACTACCACACTGCATCCGCCTCTGAATTTATTGGTTTTTTTTTACTTTTAGCTCGTGCCACAAATTATTTATATTTGTTAGCCGAAAAATTTATATAGTTTTGGTATATAACATACAAAATGTATATATATATATAAAATATATACAAACAATATATTTTTTTTCAACTATTATTTTCAGAGCGGCTATCCAGTGTCATTTTTCTAAATTAGTTAGAAGTGGATACTTTTGGATTTTGTTAAATATTTAATAAACTTTGACTGTTTGATTTAACAAAATTTATGAAAAGAAAGGATTTAACCATATACACCAGGAAATTACTGTAAATTTCAAACTTGCTAGACTAAGAACTACACCAAACACTAGAAATAGATTACCCATGAATAGACAAAAAAAGCAATAATTTCACCTCTAAATATGAGTTTCCCGTTAAATTTGTGTTTGTCATAGTTTCAAAATCCAAATGTATCCACTTCTAATTAATTTAGAAAAATGACATCATATAGCCGCTCTAAAAATAATAGTTGAAAGTATATATATATATATATATATATATATATATATTGTATATATATATTGTATATATTTTGTATATGTATACATTTTATATGTTATATACAAAACTTATACAAATTTTTCGGCTGCCGAATATAAATAATTTGTGGTACGAGCTAAAAATGAAAAAAACCCAGTTTCCGTTAAATTTGTGTTTGTCATAGTTTCAAGCATATCTAACAACTAGAATTTGTTAAATATTTAATTAAAAGACTAGAAGTGTTCATTTGACATACTTAGAGAACCAAAACTGCAAATATGTGTATTAAAAGGGCTATTATATTTTATAAGGTTTTATTCTTTAGTCCATTAATATGTATTTTTTTTCTTAATTCGTTCCGTAATAAAAATGTCTGGTTTAGTGTATAGTGAATCTGAGTAGATCTGTTTCCATATAGAAGTTAGATTGTAAATTCTAGAAAGGTAAGAAAATTTAATGGACTTCTATATATCCTTTTCTTGTTTTCAGTTTTTAATGATAGACTTATAACTATATTTTTTCGAAAATTATGTAATGTTTAAAAGTTTAGTTTTATAACAAACTCCTTTATTCTTCATATTTTTGTTGCAAATTCTTTGTTAACAACGTGAGAAATGAAATACTTGAAATTTATTTTTACATGACTCTTGAATTTAAATCTCTAGCCTCACCTAATTGACCTTCAAAATTAGAACATATAAATTAAACAAGTGCGAATTTAAAGCTCTTTAATTGTAATAATAGATTTTGAACGGTTATTTTTAATACAGAAAACGGAAATTGTGATTGATAAGGTTTACGATTGATTCGTAGAGCTTTTTTACAACATTAGAACTAAGATGAAACACCATTATTTAAAATTAATCACACCTTTTCCTCACAAATAATTGTTTTAATAAGTATAAATGGGTAACAGAAAAAGGTAAATCACCTATTATAACAGATTAAATATATAAAAATAGCATATAAAAAACTTTACATCAACTTTTTTTTTTTGCTAATAAAACTTTACATCATTGAAAATATAAGTTAACTCCTAAGTATAATCATTCTACATTAGTAAATCACGTCCCACTAATTATTGTCATTTCCCTTTCTTTCTTTGGCACAATTTATCACCTCATGGTTGTGGGATGGAACATTACAACCGTTATATTGCATAACTTCAAATTGGTAGTAGATTTTTCTTCTAAAAAATTAACTTTGGCAAAGAAAAACACAAAATTATACTACATATTATACTTTTGTTTTTGGGAATTCACTTAGTTCTTTCAACCGCACTCTTAAAGAAAAACATTGGAAAACAAATATAATTATAGGGTTTTCCTTTAATGGGTCCAACGTTACATAAATTCGGATTAATTAAGTCATTAAATTTTGAATACGAGATGGTTACACTAGATAAATATCATAAACATAGACGGTCAAAAAGGTGCGTCTCATGTACTTTTAGCAAAGAAACAAAAATGGGCACCACATATAAATGCAGTAGTCAGTATCAACAAGTAACAACCATTTAGAAATCATATTCTTCACTTTTTTTTTTTCTTTTCACAACACATTCAAATATTTATTATACACGTACAAATATATCTATTGTCTACAACTTCTTGAAGAGTCTCTCATTTTCTTTTCTTGTTTCATTTGGCAGACTCTTTTGTCATCACATATAATCACATTCCTAAGATTGGTCTACTACGTTTTTGGGGGCGAGCCTGGGGCGAAGCGTACCAAAAACGCTCCGAGGCGATAGTATGGGGCGAAAGTCTCAAGAGGTATACGCCCACTAATTCGGGACGTACGCCCGGACTTTGAGACACGTTTTTGTATTGAGCCGTAAGCCCCCAAAGACTTTTTCAAATTAAAACAAAAATTGTTGAATTCCATATAATACTCAAATTCTCAAAAGTCAGCAGCTTGTAATTACTCAAAAGTTTTAAAAAAGAACTCATGAAATGTATCAAATTTAATAGTCAAGACCTTTTTATTGATAAAAGACCTAATTTATGATCTTTCCCTATTCTTTATCTTGTTCGCTAGTCTGCTAATATCTCCCAAAACACTACAAAAAACTGAAATTAGCTACGAACGTCGTCGCTAATCTGCCGCTAAAACTCTCGTAGCTAGCAGAATATTTTGATAATCCGTTGCTAATCCGTTGCTAAATGAGATTAACAACGAATTTTTCTGTTTAGCAACAGAATTTGTCTGTCGCTAAAACCTAATTTTTTAGTAGTGAAACAACGAATATTCAATTTTTTTTTTTACAAATACAAAGAGAACTCCATTCTCCTTCATAGCAACAAATTTNTATGTCACATATTTATAGTTTTCTTTAATTTTTATATAATTTTACATGTTTATAAATATTTACTGTAATTAGATTATCTTATAAAATATTAAAAATTAAATACACATGGGACTTACGCCCCGTGCCTCAGGGCTTACGCCTCGTTGAGACATATGTAAAACGCCTCACCTTACGCCCACGCCTTTTAAAACACTGGTCTACACACGCACGGTTGAAAAGTGAAACAATCAAATCCGACAATCACATATATTAAGATACCGATTTCGTGTCATTGACATAGGCATGCACGATCGACCTCGTGCCAGAGTGTCCTGCTACGATCGAGCTCTAGCCATAGTGGTATAGACATGCCACGACCGATCTCGGGCCATAGTGGCCTGCCACGACCGATCTCGGGCCATAGTGACATGCTACGATCAAGCTCGAGCCATAGTGGCATAGACATACCACGATTGACCTCGTGCCACAGTGGCCTGCCACGACCGATCTCGGGCCATAGTGGCGTACCATGACTTGATGACCTACGTTATAAACATAGGGCACAAATAAGTTTTGTAATTTGGTCTTTGTCCGTGATCTCATATCTATAGTTGATAGGACGGTAGCCTAATAATGTAAAGGAGGTTACAATATTACCCTACTGTTTATCCAAAACTTACAACTCAAGTTTTGCAAAGAGATGAATACATATGACATTTAAGAAAGATAATTGATTAATTTGGAAGGCTGCTGACATTTCATGATCCAAACTGAAGGTCCACAAACTTCCTTACTGGAAAATAGTCAAATTCCAATGGCAGTATTTTTTGTCTTTAAACCTTTATTATTCAAAATTACGTTACAATTGTAAAAAGAACATTAAAATGTAGTGTAATATTGTATGTAGCAATGTGGTTTTGTTGGCACAATAACTACCACCAAAGATTGTGGTGAAGTGATAATTTGTATTACTGCAGTGGCTTAGGTACATAAAATGGAGTGTTCAATTGAACGCCCTTTATCGAAAAATTATACTGATTATATAGAAAATTATACTATGTATATATGTAATAATTACTTTTTATTAATATGTATGAAACCTTGAACATCCTTTGCAAAATTTCTGACTTCGCCACTGGTACTCTTCAATATAATTCTTAATCAAATATCTCGGATGCAAGATCTGAATATCATGAAGTCACTTTTGGTGGGAGCCCTTTACCTAAAAATAAAATATTTCAGCACGAATTTGAATTAGCCGGAGCCAGAACAGAGACCGAACATCAGGTGGAAAATAAAAGAAAGATACAATAGACTAGTTGGGTGAGTTAACGTTGGGAATGTGCAATCAATGGCTGGTCAGTAGTCACTGTGGGGTTCTCTACATATTTCATCTACTAATCTACATCCATTCTTACTGGTCACAAAAAAATACGGATTTATGATTTGAATTTTATGAGTTTGAATTCAAAATTCAATCACAATTCATTCATTTTGCTACATTCAAAATTTATTATTTATACTTATTTCGTAATTGTTTTCACTAAATATACAGTCTTATCCAAATTTAGCAGGGACAGAAATATTTATGAGATATAGAAGATAATTGGTGTGCTCATACTATGGAGAAAATAGATCAAAATAAGTGATTATCGAAGAAATAATAATACTAATCATGTAGTACTTAGAAATGTGAAAATGACAAGGATTAATCTATATATCTATATATTAAATTAAAAACACGAAGGTCCTTAGTGAAATGTCGTTCGCCTTGTTTACCCTTTTAACATAAAGTTCACACTGGACAAAATAGT